TTGCACAGTTGTCACTCTTAATGCCTCCCATGAGGAGGAGTGGGGGAATAAATGACAATTTGTTCATCTTTCTGTCTTTCAGCTTGTGCCAGAACACATCGTCATGACAAAAGAGGAAGTGACAGAGCTCCTGGCCAGATAGTATCCTCTTAATGTATACACCATACTACAGATGTGTGTGTGTATAAAATATATACACACACTACCAGTCAAAAGTTTGGATATGCATGCCATGTCGGCCAAACTTTTGACAGGTAACGTATATATGTAGTGTGCAGTGTTTCTTTACGGACAATATGTGCATTTGGTTGCCTTAACACGCTCAGTAAACTGAAGGAGAGTCAGCTCCCCAGGATCCAAGCCGGAGACCCCGTGGCTCGTTACTTCGGCTTAAAGAGAGGACAGGTAAACAAAGCATAACTTTGAAACAAGGCAAAGAGGGGAAAAGTGTCGTGACTATTAGAACAGGAAGTAGACTTAATGCGAAACAGGGAAGCGTCTGGCTACTCAGTGCATCATCAATATCAAGCAGTTTTAAAAAACAGGCGTGAGTAAATACCACGTACTAAAATGGCTAGCATATAACCAGCAAAGTGTCAACCCATGGCAATATTTTCGATGTTATGCATCTTTAAACGGGGTAACAGTTTTACTTGTTTCAACAGTGCTGCTCTAAGATATAAGGCTGGTCAGGAGAGGGGCAGTTCCTTAAAGTAACATTTTTAGATGAGAAAGGCGGGGAAAAAGGTAAAGTCACCATTACGCTAGAATTTGGGTCTGACACTTTAAATCCGTACCAAGGTGGTGAAAATCATCAGGCCGAGTGAGACAGCTGGACGGTACATCACCTACAGGCTGGTGCAGTGACAGGTTAGTCATCCATATCAGACATGTACAATATTTCGATGATGACCAGTTAGAATGACTATATTTACCATCCTAGATGTTAACTGGGGAAGCATTCGAAGAGGTTCCAGTCACACTCATCATCCTTGGATCCCTGTTTTAATTGT